TTCGATTTTTGGTTGGTGGATTTCATGATGACCTGATATCAGTTAGAGAACCATTGGAAAACCAGCTCGGAGTACTGGACAGATGTTTCGTCAGCCTAGTTTGGGACTCATTGGTAGTACGCACCTACCACGGGAGTTTGAACCCAGGACAAGGCCACCGAGCTCGTGGACCACTAAGCCACTAGGACTCTATCCAATGGCCAGCCCATGAATTCCGACTTCTGCCGATTCACGATATAGCGCAACTTCTTCGTGATGTCTCCTTCGATAAGGAACTGTCCTCACCTTCAACCTACTGTATCCTTCTGGTCACAGCTTCCCGCCAGAACCCCAGATAGCTGCCTTAATAGGGCCAGTCGTTAGTAAGTGTCAGACAGCTTTGTAACCAGGAGGTCCAGGGTTTCAACCCTGGCGGTGAGTGCGCACTGCTGAAGAGTCCCGAATGCTGGGACGAAATAGCTGTGAAGTACTCCCTGCAGGTTCTCCAATGGTTCTCTAACTGATGTCAGCTCATGATGAAATTCTCCAGCCAATGAAACAAAATCCCTACAAAAGCATTACTTGAAAATTTTCGATTTTTAATGTGCCTTCGTCGGAGCAGTAATTGACACCAACCTATGAAATTATTCACTAATGTTTAGCCATGTACGTGATTATTCTGACACTATGAATAGCTGTATTTCCGCAATTACATTTACGCACAGTTTAAAATTTTCAGCGTAATTTCATGTAAAATATTAATCGACAGTGTTGTACGAAGCAAAAATTGATGTATTGTCTCCTGAACTCAGGAGATCAATCTTTGAATTCTACTGTACACCTAACCAAGGCTTTCTAAGTTACGCATAGTCCTTAAATATCAAGATGACAGTAAAAGACAGTTATATCAGATAAAATCTTTAGCACCATTTACCAAGAGTAACATTTGTAAACTCAAAATTACCTCAGTAATGCCGTTAGGCAAATGTACAGATCCAGTAGTTTCTCGAATAGAAAATAAGTACTTAATAGCAACCTTAGTTAACCAAAATCATTCGTAAGAAGTGCCTGAAAATCAAGGAGACTATACCCAACAAGGTGGGGTCGAAAACTATGCTACTCAGAATCATACATCAATGATTCCCAAGGAAAGTCCAATATCGAAATGACATTGATGTCCCTCTAACAAAAGTACAGTCACAAGACAAAACATTATCAATACCATCACACAACCACAAAGAAAAGCGTCAAAATTAGAGATTTAACAGCGACAAAGACGAAGAATAAGGATCACATCAGTGTACAGTATGCAAATGCCAGGACATTGATATGTGGGCTAGCTGCGAAACGGACAATAATTATAAAGCTAATAGAAACACCCAAATAAATATGAACATTGTAACTAGATAGTTTCGTAGAGATTTTCCAGAAAATTTTCCTTTATATGTATATCATTTGACGCATTGTCAATGCATATGAAACAAGACTAATTTCTCTGTGACGTCCTTCCTTCATTTCCTCTATGAAGTTTAACACCAGCGTGTGTTGAAGCCATCTAAAAATTTGTTTGACTTCATATTGTGTTTCAAAGACATAATTTGAAGATTAAAGCTGCAAGAAGTGGAGAAATGTGAATAAATTATGATGGATTTGAAGTTTAGGCAGTTCAGTGGTAATACAGTGATAGAATAATTGTTCCAATTTAATCTCTAATTTGAATGCTTCTCTTTGTGGTTCTTCCATGCATTGATAATGTGTTGTCTTACCATGTGATCACGTTTGAGTGAATCAAAGTGATTTTCGACCTTGAACTGTCTACAGGAATTGTTGGTGTGTGACTTTTGTGGACAAAGTTTTCGATCTCACCTTGTTGAGAACATTCTACGTGATTCTGAGATACTTTTTACAGTTGAATTTCTGTAAACTAATTTTGCTACACATTACATGTTTTGCACCTAGATATATACCTTGTCCTTATAGCTGCTTAATGGCATTGTTGAGGTAAATTTTGAGTTTTTGATGTTATTCAAGTTGAATAGAACCATATGGATCTATCGACGAATAATCGCCTTTTTACTGTGTTTGGAGATTTCTGTGGCTGTGCTTGTCTCATCAGCTGTGCAGTAGAACTCAGAGATTGGTTTTAGTAGTTACAGATACGACTACATGGATTACGATGCAGTATTCCAACATCCTGTGTTAATAATCACTAATATCTGGGGTGTACTTAATGAGATGACCAGATCAATTTATTTTGACTATTTACTTACTATATGTTACACAAATGATAGCTTTTATATTATTTCACGTTTGATCACGAATTGGTGTAAACGAACCATTCAGAACCGGGGAATACTGGATAGATGTTTCGTCCTGGTTTTGCACTCAACGGGAGTACGCACCACCCACCAGGGTTAGAACCCAGAACCTTTAAGTCACAAGGCAATCTAGTAGACGATTTAGCCATTGCGACTAGATTCACTGGCCGACGAATTCGTGGCTTTAGCGTGACCACCAAGCAATGTCATAGCCTAGTATTTGTCATTACGCCTAACATGGTGAACCCCACTGGTCACGATTTCTCTTCACAACTCCAAGCGACTTCGTTTAAACGAAAAACAAGGCCTTGTCCTTGTCTCTGTAGTCCTCTTTAACTAGCTCCATGGCTGACCGTAAACTCTCATCTCTTCCTCACATGATATCCTCCATGTCACCATTGGACCAATGTTTAACTCGTTGTTTCTCATTCGAGTTCCACTTAAAGAGTAAGGGCCAGGCTTGTGATGTCATACAACGGTATCCTCAGCATATGTTCAGTCCATCTCCATTTTCTTTCCAACATTCGTTGAACAGTAGGTTGTTGGCTGGTTCATTCTCAGAATTTGACAGGTGAATGTACTTTAATGCAATACGAATAAGTCTGTGGGTGTTTATATACACTACAAGAAAATGTTTTTATTTCTTATGAATTCCTTCACGTTCCCAGTGGAAAATAAGGCTTCAAGCTAGAGGCTTGAAGTTTCTGTAGCAGTGGTGATTATTTATACAGGATGAGGTTGCTAGCCTCGTGCTCAACCTTTCCTCTTTACCAGCTTTATTACTGGGTTAGTGGGGTAAAGGAGTGCGTCGGTGGCCGGGATCGAACCTCGAACCATGTGCATAGTCGGCGAGCGTCCTAACCACTGTGCCACCGACACACATGAATTGCCAGATAATATAAAAAACGAAGCCAACTTGTGCTTCTGTTTCCATCTGAGTAAATAAATTAATAGCTCAAGCGGGTTTTCATCTGTTTAACGTGTGACATCAATATTGGTAGTCATAAAGTTTTTTTCTTCTATTTTTAGTAGGTGAAAAGGATAAAATTAGCCTAATAAATGGGTATAAATTATAATATAAATTAGTCGATAAAAACGATATATATGAAGTTTTCAAAAGAATGGTTACTGAGCAAAGAATATTCTTTTCGATAACTTTTTCTTCGTCAGGTTCTATATTCATATATGCATAATAGTAGTCAGTGAATTAGTGTTATTAACAATATTAATGCTGTGTAAATAACATCGAATCAATAATCATATCAATAGATAACAGTTCGATAGCATCAACATAACTGTACACAGTGAATATCAGAAAAATTAGGAAAAAAATAGTAGTACAAATTCATGAATTTATAGTCTCCACTGAATACTAGCCAGGGCAATAGTAGTGGTTAGACTTGCTTCTTCTACACACAGAGCACTGGTCGTTTTACACGAATTGCAATAGCCTCTGCTGTTTGGAGCATGCGGTACTTTGAAGATTTTGGCAATTTATTTGGTACCCGATAAATACTGCAGAAGTGCTCTTGTAGCCGAATTGGAACAGGTGTTCTAATATGGAGCTATTTATTTAACTTTTATTTAACCACACTCGTAGATTTTCCCGAAGAAGAAAAATCAAGTTCCTAGGGCAACGGCCAGTATAACTCGCTTCACAAGCTCACTTGAATTGGTAGATACAATTCGAAGTAGCTAGTCTAGGCACTTCATATTTCAGTCCAGGAATCACCATCGGTCGTGTGGAGAATAAGACGTGTAGTTTGCCGGCACTTAAAGTTCTTTGAACTGATTTCCTTAACTTCTTCGTAATTATCTCGCAGGGTATGTGACCCTTGATTTGCAGTCGTAAAACTTCATTTTGAACTGAGTATTTTGCGATCAATGTTTACATATAAGTGTGTCACGTTGTCTTCCGAAAAGGCATGCATTACTGCTCATTCAATAGATGTGTTATCATAATATTATAGGTTTCCAGGCCGTAGGTGTTACGAACTTCTTGGAATAATTTGAGCGCCGAGTCAGATTGATTCATTATAAATTATTTAAATTAATCCTAGCGTGTTAAGAAAATCAAAACAAGATTTTTCTGAACGTTTCGCTGTGTAAGCCACAGCTTCTTCAGCAGATTTATTCAGATTTTTTGATGATTAATAAAAATCCGAATAAATCTGCTGAAGAAGCTGTGGCTACACAGCGAAAGGTTCAGAAAAATCTTGTTTTGATTTTCTTAACACGCTGGGATTAATTTAAATAATTTATAATGATGTGTTATCATGTTTTCTGTCTGTGTTTCAGCGGTGCAAAGCACAATGGCTATTCAAAATGTCCAAGTTTGATTTCGCGCCGACTTACTCTTAAACCTTGCCTAGGCTACCAGCCGATAGGAAACCTGAAGAATGGTGTAGGTTGATAGTGAGGCTAACAACTGCAGCCAGTTAAAACAATACTACCGCCGCTGAAGCTATGAACCTCGAATTCTTATTGTTCCACTCAGAGAATGACTAAATAAATCCATTTAAGTGTATCAGATTATATTGTTCAGTCAGCCCCGCAAAAATGTCACTTTGTTTTAAATGTCAGTCCTATGTTTTGTTTGATAAAAGAAACTATTTACTACATGATAAAATTTGTATTTTGATTTATATGTTTAAAAATTCTCTCCTGTTTTTTTTCTGTTTATGCTTTAACTAATATATGCAGACAAAAACAATGACACTTCGAAAAGACCTGATAACTGATGACAGTTTAAGTGAACAAGAATTGAATCGAACCGGTTTCATTTCTCTGCCTGATCGAAGATCATCATCATCAACAACCAGGAAAGGTGTACATAAACTGCCAACATCACCTTCAATGCCTTTGCCGAGTGAAACACCATCTGTTCGTTGGATATACAATGTCAATCTATCTGAAATGGATTATAGCAGTGAACCGTATAGTATATGTACATCACTTGTTGAATGTAAACAAACAGACACGGATACAGTGGATAGTCAGAATGATCCAGACCTCACAGATAAATTGGATTATATCGCCTCTGAAATTGGTCTATTACATCATAAGAATTATATGAGACGTGAGCATTCACAATCACCACAATGGGATATTAATGGTAAGCTCGCGTTTTATATATATGATCTCATTTTTGTTTTACAGTTAAGATTATGTACATTGTGATCCTTTGTAGCAATAATGATAATTACTAGTTAGACATTTTGAATATTTGAGATAAGTCATTATTGAGTTGTTTAAGCGTTTGTTTCATTTTGTTTTATTTATTAACCCAGGTTACTATGATTACCTTTGATTTAGAGTTGATGAGTTAAACACACTATAAGGTATGCATAAAAGTCCTATGAGGTTAAAAGATGTAAAATATTTAGGAGGAAGGTCTTTTAGGGTGTGTAACTAGTTATTTTGTTTCTTAAAATATCGTTTCTTTGTTTTCATATATATATATATATATAGTATTGAAGATAAGTAATGAGAAACTAATAATATAAGACTAGTTCATATCCAGTATAAAATTACAGTCTGTAAGCTAGAAGACTTTAGAAATGTATACCTCAGAGAAATAATCACCCAGCCATTACAATGCATTCACTAACATGCAGTCAGAAAACTAGGTCGAGATACACCTATTCTTCTAAAAAGCATTATAGGTGAGAGAGAGGTTGATCACTGGTTGATCTTTGTTTTCAGGTGGTTGGGGGCAATCAGGAGGAAACTTTGAACCCTACGCTTCATGCTTTACAGCACTGATCAGGCGTATCTGTAACCTTAAGTGGACTCGTGTACTTTCCGAGATTCGGTCCGTTCTAAACGAAGGACTAATCGCATAATATTATTAACAACTTAGTGTCCAAACAAAATATGTAATACAGTCCTAATTTAACAACAGAAGACAAGGGCCAGGCAACAGATCGTTTATTAAGGAAAATCAACACATATTTATAGATTTTAATGTACATTATTGTAGATTATTGTTAGTAGAAAATACAGTCTTTTGATTGATTGTTTCTCACAGAAAGTTAACCTTGCATCTCTTTGTGGCTGTGTCAGATCATCCATATGCTAACTGTATCCGCCTACGCAAAGCCTTTGTTCTCATTTTCTTACCACCAATATTGGGGACATAAACACTGACGTCAATTACAGTCTACCAACTTTGGCTAGCAGCCAGCTCTCACCACACTAAGAGAGGTCAGTTGTCAGCTCAAATAGCTCAGTGGTAACGTCTTCAACTGTAGAAATGAAGGGAATGGGTTTGAATCTCAGAGGGGCTGTGAATTACTCCAATGTTGCGGATACGCCTTGCTGATTGTTGAGGGTCAACAAGCAAGAAACCTAGATCAGAGACATTGTAACAGTTCGTACTAATAAATACTCGCTAAACAGTCTACTTTTGTCCTGTCTCGGATTGTTTGTTCAGATAATTAAAAAGTTGATGTTTTTGTAGCATTTTATTCCTTTTGTGCTCTCCCAAAAATAATCAGCATCGCTTCGCAATGTGCTGCATGGTTTGAACGGTAGTAGACGAGGGATTTGGTAAAGAAGTGTTTATTTAGCAAAGTTATATACACCTCATCTTCAAAGCACCATTTGCACAGATCTTTCGTGTTGTGGTACTTCTGGACGTCGCATTATGTTTATCTGTGTTCCTTTCATGTCACCCATGTATTTCCAAAACGCAGTACCATTTGCTTTCCCTGACTTCAAATCTATCTCTGTGATATCTGATATTTTTATGCCGCAAAACGTCTCTTTGTATACTACTGATAAATCTTACCAGTAGCACACATTACATAGTAAGTAAATGCTATATAATTTACGGCTGAATATCAGATGAAATCAAATTACTTACATTCATAACATATTAATTACATTGGTAGTAGAGTGCTCGTCTACCACGCATATGGTACGGCACTCCTTAACCCCTCTTAACCGTTAGTTAGGCTGTCGAAAGTTGGAAGGTTGGACCCGAGGCTAGCTATTGCATCCCGTAAAAAATAAACACCACTGCTAGAAGCTCCATATTCAACTCGGGACGCAAAGGAGCGAAATGAAATAATGAAAATAAATCGCTAAACCAGTTAATCATCTAACAACCTATTTATATAAATACTTCACTTCTCCATACTCAGATTACCTGCATCATTTTCGTGCTTACCACATTTTACAAATACCAAATTCAGAATACTTAAACATACTGTAATTACCAAAACTGACTCATTGTGGTCTGAACGCTAGAAACCGATCTCTGCGGTCGACTGTATAGTTGTCCAAAACTTTCTTGAGACAACCACGGTCACATAAGAGTCAAAAGACAGAAAAAGGCTGGTTATTCATTGTAAGATCTATGTCGTTCTATTTAATATCATTAACAACATCAAAAACTCAAAATCACCTCAACTATGTCACTAGGTAGCTATGAAGGCTAGATCATTTTCTAAGTTCAAAACAAGTACTGTAGAAGAAAGTTAGTTAAGGGAAATTCGACTGCAAGAAGTACTTTATAATCAAGTCGAATATATTCCAAACAAGGTGGAAACAAAACTCTGTTGACAAGAATCATACACCAACAATTCCTGCTGACAGTCCAGGTGTAGAATGATCTCGATTCACTCAAACAAAATCACAATGCAAAACAACGCATTATCAATGTATCGTGCAATCACAAAGAGAAGCATTCAAATTAGAGATTGAAGGATCAAGTGAACATATGATATGCAAATGTCAGAACAGCGATATACAGTCTAGGATAAAGATGGATAATAATCACAAAGTTAGTTGAAATAATCAAATAAGTATCAGTATTGTATTCAGGTAGTTCAGGAGAGATTTTCCAGGCAATCATTCCATTATAGATCCTATAAACACTATTAAAAGGTTGTTAAAATTATTGTTTCCTTTAGTTCCTAGAGGAACATAGGGCTTCAGTCGCAAGTCTCTATTGCGTTTGGTTCTCTGCCGACATTTTCACCTACCTCCACGTCTGTCCACGTGTTTTCATCTCCTCTTCACATGACCTCCTCCATGTCACCCCATCCTCGCACTGACGACCAACTCACTGCGACCAATTCGGGTTCCACTTGAGCAATGGCCTTGCATGTGATGTCACTTGATGGTTTCCTCAGAGTATGGCCAATCCACCTCCATTTCTTCCTGCTTATTTGTTGCACAATCGGTTCGTGGTTGGTTCACTTATTTCCAGAGATCCCTGTTGCTGATCTTTTCTGGCCGGCTATCTGATCTTGAGCTGAGTATTTAGTGAAGACAGCTGTTGATGAAGGTCTGTAGTTTGTTCGTGGTGCACTTCATGACGCACCAAGTAGCACTGACTTCACATTGGAGTTGAAAATCCTGATCTTATTTTCATTTTCATGCTGAGTGCTGTTGACCTCAACACAAACTTGCCTTGCTTTCCCGATCTTTGTAGCTTTGAAATCCTCGTCATTTCCGTCCGCCTGTGGTTGAAACGATGCTTCCCAGGTAGGTAGGTATGTAAAGGAGGTTGCTTCTTTCAGACTTCTCCCCTATTAAAAGGTTAAATGAAGTGAATTAAAAATAACATTACACAATAGATATGAAATGTAATATATCATACTTTTTTTAAGGCAGCGAGTCATTTCACATGTTTTCAATTCAGCTAAAATAATAACTAACTAGCTAATTAACTAATTGGTTTATCGTTCAGTGAGAAAGTAAAGGTCATATACCATTAAACTTAGCCTAGTAGACAGAGAGAGAGAGAGTGACATTAGATTAGTGGCTTTTCTAAATCTCCATTACTCTGGAGTCATTATCCTAACTTCATATTGTTTACAAAAGTGTTACACCGTTTGTTTCCCCCATTTATTTGTTTTTTTCAAAAAAAGATAATCAACAATGAAGATAACAGTAAATAAATGTTTACTTTAAAGTGAAGTGAACTTCTTTCCATTTATGTGTGCAGTCAGTTTATGCATATTTTTTAAGAAAAAGAGGAAAGGAATCCTTCCTTTTAAGAAAGCAAATTCTACAACCACACAGTGTTTGTGACAGACGTAATAATACTAATAATAGCAAAACAGATATCAATAAATGAAGAAAATTTCACACGTATATTACTAAATGGTGAAAAGAAACTTCCTAAAAAAATTGGAAGCGAGGAATATCTAAATGCTAGTAAGAAGAAAATCCGATAGTATGCTTGTTTCAGGATTTCATCATGGTCTGACATCAGTTAGAGGACCACTAAAAAACCTAGGAGTACTGCGAAGCCACTTCGTCCTAATTTTGGACTCTTCAGCAATACGAACCCGCCGGGGTTCGAACCCAGGACCTTCCAGTAATAATGTGGCCTAATGATCTACGAGCTCGCCATGTAACCGAAACGTCCTGGATTCGATAGCCAGTTGGTGCGTATTGCTGAAGAGCCCCAAACTATGGCGAAGCAGCTGTCCAGTACTCCTAGGTTTTCTAGTGGTTCTCTAACCGCTGTCAGCCTAAGATGAATTCCTGCCATCAATCAAATCCCCTACTATCGAATACATATTATTCGATATGGTTGTCACATTCACTCCTCAAAACTTGACAACTGAAGTCAAGTCATTTGAAATGCACCATGAAGCTCTCACTGACGCTCTCCCCGGTGATAACGTTGGGTTCAATGTGAAGGACGTGTCCACTTGAGATATACATCGTGGCAACGTTGCCGTAGATTCAAAGAATGACCCTCCAAAAGAAGCTGCAAGCTTTACCACCCAAGTCATTGTCATGAACAATCTCGGTGAGATCAAGAATGGCTACTAACCTGTCCTTGATTGTCACACTGCACACGTCGCATGTAAATTCCACGAAATCACCGAGAAGCTGGACCAAAGATCAGGCAAGAAAGTGGAGGACAACCCCAAGTCTATCAAGTCTGGCGATGCTGCAATAGTAGAACTTGTACCCACAAAGCCTTTGTGCGTCGAGCCATTCCAGCAATACCCACCACTTGGTCGTTTTGTTGTCCAAGACATGAAGCATATTATTAACCTCTATGAACTTAAAAAGTAACGTGAAATACATCTTATGCATCCTTTGTGGCCGCAGCTGATGTACATGGCATATCATTTCATTCTTGTG